TGCTACTAGTTAGTTCGCACGGCGCTCGTTGGCGCTACGAGCAACCGCCCCGCTTGCCCCCCGATCCCCGCGCCTATTCCGCGATTCAGTGACGCGTTGTGTACATCCACGATATTTTACATATTCGCCTAAGGTTTGGTTTGGTTCAGTTACGGTTTCTTAGCAGAGTTGCAAACTGACCGGCCAGCACCGAGAACATCGAGGAAGTGGCACGCACTCAAGCGAGGACTTATTATGGACTGTGTTCCAAAATTCACTGCCAGCGCTAAAGATCTATAGTTTACGTCACATATATTATACAATTTTAACACTGGCAGCGTGCTCGCAGCAATTCTGGAACAGCTTTTATGTACTGTATTCTAACCTTAAGCCACATAAGCGAGCACTTGTACCTTTATTCACCTACGATTCCCCTGCAGTTAATAAGTTGAAAGCAAAAAAAAAAAAAGATATATAATTAGAGTAAATGAAAAATTACATTTTATATATCGTATACAATATTCACAACAATATGTTCACGATGGAACTAAGTTTACAATCACTGAGACAAGTTGCCTTTTTTAGCAAGTAGATCTTTCACATGCGATGGCAACATACAGTCAAGATCATGAAGATTAGACATAAATTTTAAATTCAATAATCTCACTAATCCACTTTGATAACCGACTATAAGCCACAAGTAACTCCATGCATTTGGATTCCAAGCTACCTAAAAATTAATATTTTATTTAATTTATTGTACTTTATGTTTTATTTTTAATTATCTCTACATATAGAGAAAAAAATAGAAAAATAGCTCTATATATAGAACAGAAAAATGAAACATGTATATATATATATATATATATAATATTCTGTGACAAATAATTTGTACTATTGTGTGAATAAAGAAAATAGAAAAAAGATTGTTGACTCACTTTGTTTGCAGAAGTGAACGAATATTGTTCAATATTGATTATCAAATTCTCATTCTCATTCCGCTTATTTTTATTTTCTTTTTTCTCATCCTGGATTATAAAAGTATGATTATGTAATATTAATATTATATTTTATTAATATTATTATTATATTTTTATATATAGTGAAGTTTGAATGTAAAATATAAAAATATAATGAAAAAAATATAAAAATATAATATTATGTAAATTATTCATCATTTAATTTCAAGTTACGTCTATTTATAATTTAAAAAAAGTACCAAAACTTACCACAAAATCATTGTAAAAAACTATGCCAAATCGATTTTTGCACTCGTTATAAGTTTCTGGCATGTAACGATAATCTCTTAAATTCTTTTTATCACCTTTATTTTCTTTATCTCCTTTTTCTTGATATTGTTCTGAGAAATCTATTATTTTGATAAAAGAGATTGACTAAAAACAGGATTATTGTATTACATAAAGATAATATAAAAACAAATTAAGTTTCAAAAAATGTTAAAAGACTTAAATATAAAACAATATAAGAAAGAACATTTTTTACTTGTCTTTTCGTAGGAAGCAATTTGTCTGTGTGTAATAAATGATGAGGAAAGATACTTTGGATTTCTCCAGCTAATGTACCATGTGCAATGCTATTAGCATAATCGTTAACTGTGATACTCTAAAAATTTAACTGTCATTAAGGTTTAAACAAATTTACTTTTATTATTTATATAAGAAAATAACATATGTTCTCACATAAGTTGGTCCATTGGCTGTCAAAATTGGACAGCATTTATATCTGTATTCCCTCAATGGTAAAACTTGAGAAAGTGTACATTTGTATCTAGAATAAAATCTTTGTGTTAAAAATATGATTTTCTTAGATATTTTATTATTTCTTCTTTAATATCACTAATTTTTTATATTTTTTAATATATATGATAATGTGAAAAACTTACCCTAGTGCATCGTCAAAACTAAGAACTGCACACGGCCAGTTTGTCATCCACTTACCGTCTACTATTATACCCTTTTTTACACAATTTTGCGGTACGTTTGTATTTTCTAAGTCCCAAAATTTATATGTTCTATCTAAGCTGCCAGAGGCTAAATATCGACTTCCGCCATACGGAATTAATGCTATCACTACACAAAAAGATGAAATAATAGTTTACATTTTTAATTTCTTTACTTATTATATGTATATGAATTTGCAATACTCACTACTAACTGCATTATGATGAGCAAAAAAATGTTTGAATGCACTTAGAATTCTTGTATTATTCCGCATTTGAAGTGCCAAAAAAGAGGTAGCTCTAAGATTCCATAATGCAATGTAACCGTTTGAAAAGCCTGCTGCGATGATGCTAAACAATATTTGTTTTCATGTTATTTTTACATAGAGTGCAATTGAATATTTAAAAACAAATTAATTGTTTTGATGCGACTCTCACTTGTGTCCATGTTCCTTTGTCCACGACAGCTTAGTGCACTGCCAGTTTTGTTCTTTTTTCTCGTACATAACATGATTTACAACAAGTGTCATTACTGGGTCGCTTTTGTAAATTGGCCACCTTATAAGTCGCATTAAAATATTATTAATAATACGAATAGAATAAAAAATAAAAAATAGAACAAGTACATATGATGAACAAAATCGTTAAAGTAAGACTCACGAAGTATATTCTGTTTTTTCAAATTTAAGTCCGTCTTCAAATGGTAAGGAGAAAATATTTACACATCCATTTGAGCATGCGGCCGCGAGTAATCCCATTCGCCTAAGTGTATTTTCTTCCGCTTTGTAATTATCCAGTTCCACATCCTGATAGCATCCGGAAGGACACCATTCTAAGCACCAAACTGTACCGCTATTATGCGCGATGGCGTAGGATAAAACAGGTGGTCTATTTATATTATTAATTCTGAAATAGAGAGAAATATATATTTATATATTTTACACGCACACTTTCAATATACTATTGCACAAATCAAGGAGAGAGATAGCTTAGTGGATTGATTTTGATGTAGTATCGTTAACTCGGCCGAGATAATGGATTCAAATCTCGCCGCTTCACTTCTCGATGGTTCAGAATCTACTTTGGGTAAGTTCCCACTTGCCATTCGCAACGCTCATAGAATCATTTTATGTTTGTTTTTCATCGAATGTTAAACAAAGATAGGTAACGTTGACGAACGTCGCGAACAGCAAGTAGAACTTACGCTTTATCAAAAAATGTAGATCCTCGAAAAAAAGTAAGACTTGACAAACGTAATAGTATAAGAAATTGTAACCTTGTTTTCTTTCTAAGGAGAACTAAAATACATACAGCATATTTCCCGCTCTATATTCTCATGAGCGGTGATTCTTTTATTTCACTTGTTTCTATCATGCTGTTATCCCACTACCGACTGTTACAGGCACTTTACATGCGCAAGATTCTTGTCAAAAATTGAAGGAATACATGGGAAATGTGAGAATAAAAAAAATTTTTAAGTTCTATTGTCGAAAAATATAAGAATTTTGCTATATTAAGATGTTAGTTAAAATTGCATGTGTTTTACTTACTCGTGATTTAAATTTCCAACATTCCATATTTGAATAACATTTGGTTGGGAATAACTTTTTCCTACGGCATATTCGCTTTGCATAGTTGGGTGTGTGCTGATTGCAACATATTGTGTTGGATTTTTAATGTACATTGGCGATGGAATAGGTAACCATGCTAAAGCCCATACAGGACCACCAACAAAAAATGTTGGTACATCTGATGCAATGTATAATTTGATGATTTAGGCGCATTTTAAGGAAAAATATAAATAATTAAAAATTTTAGTAGCACTTGATTATATTTTGTTCAAACTGTTGTTAGTTTTGCAATCTAGGTAACAAAAGGTACAACGTACCGTCATAAATATCGCTCTCGAATCTATGAAGACGGTTCCACTTATCATTATCAAAATATCTTGTATTTTTTGATGAATTATCATTCACTTGTTTTATAGCCATTGAAATTTCCATTTCGGGGAGATATTTTGCGACATCATTATTTGACAATAATGTAAAATTGTTTGGCATGAGACAATTGAATAACGTAAGCTCGTAATTATTTAGCTGGCTGTTGCAAATAAAAAAACTTAAATTTTTATAGAGAGCGAGAGATACATATATACGCACACAAACACACATTACGCGCGCGCACAATCAATCTATCTAAAGAGAACTATTAATTAGAGAACTTACAATTCAAAAGTCCAATATAAAGTTGGCTTAAAAAGTTCAGTCGACTGTGGGTTTTGTGTTAAGTCTTTATCCAAAATAGCTATTTTCTTGTATTTTGTTTCTAAAATTTCAGGATATGGTTAATATTATTAATTATCTTTGTCTAACATTATAACGTGAAAAGAAATTCGTTATTTCTTATGTCTAATGTGATCTATTTACTCGACTTACTTGATCTGTCAAAACAATATTTTTTTTTAATACTAAATTCATTTATGTTTTCATCCGATGAATTCTCCTCGTCTTCTTCATCTTCCTCACTTTCTTCATCGTTTTCATCAAAATCAGGATCTTTTTCGAAGTCTTCACTTGCATGAACTTTTTTTAAATGATCTTTGAGTTTGTTTTTAGAATTTGCAGTAAATGTGCAAAGTTTACACAGAAAACTCTGAAAAAAAAAAAAAGAGTTTTCTTTACATGTGTGTATGTGGTTAGCTATTTATATATATAAAAAAGTCACATTTATATACTTTACCTCATGCGGAATAAAATTACATTTAAAAAAATGTTCCAAGATACTTTCATATGAAGAACACTTATAAGTACAACTTGGTTGTCTACAACATGCAATACCGTTTGAAGCCAAATCTCTCTTCCAAATAGCTTTCCAAATGCTTGGTATTCTTCTTTCAGTTTGCTGCTTCTGTACACAGAATATATATATATGTGTGTGTGTGTGTGTGCGTGTGTGTGTAACTGTATATATAAACTAAAATAAGACTAATATTTTTAAACTTTACCACATACCGCTATAAAAGAATCGCGTCTTATTTTCTTGAGTGAAAGTTCTTCATTTGCATATTTGTTAAGCTCCATTATCTTCGGTACTGCTCTGTAATTAAAGCACTACATAGTAGACAGGAAGATTGAAACTTTTATTTTTCTGAGTTTTATATAAAGCGGAACAATAATTAATTTAAGAAAATAATAATATTAAAGTAATTTATATATATATATATATATATAATATTTGTTAAAAATATTTGCTTTACCTTTCTGCAGCTTTCCGTTTAACTCTTTCTGTTTGTATAATTGGCATCTCTGTATGTATAGTTTCTTTATCTTTGTTCTTTTCTAAATGCTTATGACTACGTTCATGTATTTCCATGGAAGAAGGCATCATAACGGCTTGACAAGTAGAACATGTCATCATTAATGCTTGCTTTTCCTATAATAAAAACAACACACAAGACTACATTTAATAAATTAATAAAATATATATATATATATATATATATGTTGAAACAAATCTTAGTATAATGTCTTAAACATACATAAACACATAAAGACAAAAAAAGAAAGAAAGAGATAGAGATAGAGATAAAGAAAGAGAGAGAGAGCGCACAGAGAGGAAAAAAGAATGTACGCATGTAAGTAGAAAATTTGCATTTTGCTTATACTTACCGCTTCTGACTTTCCACAAAATTGCATATGTGATATAAAGCCAACAACACTTCGTTTTGCAATTCCACACTTTTCACATGTTAGATATGAATAGGTACGTTGGGATGTCCTTTTCTTTTTTGTTTTAAGAGCAGAAGCTAACACTTTTTTCAACATTTTGTCGTTATTTTCGAAGTTCTGTGTAAACAAGTTTACCATATATAGATATATATAGCTACGTTTCATAAAGTTATGTATGTTATATCTTTAAAGAATATTTACTTACCAATGGTTCTTCATTTTCACGCCAAGCCATATTATTATGGCGATATAAATTATGTGTAGACCACTGTCTTTTCTGTATTTGTTCTTGGCATTTCGCACAAGTTACTAATTCTATCTGTAAATCAAAGTGTGAAATGAAATCAAATTGTAATTAAAGATGTAAAAATATTTTCAATAATTATATATTTTTAATTTAGTATCCTCAATGCGGATTTTGAAAAAAAAATTGTGCATGTTCAACGCGTTTTACCATAAAACGAAAGACGAAAAGAGAATAATTATTCTGTTTAATTTTCACAGTACAATCTTGATAAAATTGTTTAATGTTTTTGCACAAAAAAACGTAAGAATCTGAGATAAAAGACGGACTCTTTGCGAAGCAAATTACAGCGCAATTTCTATATTTTCACAAACGTCAAAACAGTATAGATCGGTATTTATGTTCAAATCTTAGCTAAGATCGTTTTAAGTTCATTTTCAGATAGATTTATAGCCAATGAGACAGTTTATACGATCTCTCATCAGCTTAAGATAATCTAAACTATAAATACCGCCTATAAATTCTTTCTCCTGACCCCTCTCCTGTATTCACTCACTCTTTGATATGCTCATGTAATCATAACACGTTTCTATATCGCTATATTCTGAAAAAATAACATTTCTCATCCTTTAAAGCAAATAACTTTAATGCTTAATAACTTCACGAGCTCATTTGGCATTTTTTCTTTCAGATACTTTCATACAAAAATGTGTTAAACAAGCAATTTCAAAATTCCCGCTGTACATATCAAACTGAATAATTATCACATTTCCTATTGCTACTTACATTCTTTTCAATATTTGAAGCATTTAAACTCGTCTTATCATTTTCAATACTTATTTCAAGATTGGGTTTTGTATCTTCCAGATCTAATTTTTTATCTTCTGTTTCTCTTAATGTAAAACTATTTTTTTGTTTGAAAGAAGGAACATATTCCTTATCTAACGACCTTTGTAATACTCCTCTACCACGACCTCGACTTCCACCTCGTCTCCGACCTCTACTACCAACTGGTCGACCACGCTTCTTGATACCAAATTCATCTTCAACATTACTGTCATCATTTACATCATCTAGTTCACTAGTAGCAATTGTGATTTTTCTAGTATACCTTTTTCTGCGTGTCATGTATTCGGTATTAACAGTGTTTTCCAAGATACTATTATTAATTGTTATATTATGTGCTATATTTCTATTTGTAGAATTATCTGCAGTTTTTCTAGGTCTACCTCTTCTTTTTTTTGGTGAAGATAATTGTATTTGTTCTATACATTGTACTTCTGCAATATTAATTGTTTTTATTAGATGAACAAGTTCAAATATAGACAACAGAAAATTTATTTCTCGTAAAAAAAAGTTTATGAACTACACAAAATATGTGCTCTTTCTTACCTTTATCAGAAATATTTTGTACATTAGGACTAACAGTACATACTTTTTTAATACAATCAGGTATCTCACTACTTATTCCATCCATAATTGAATATAGAGAGGAGAGAAGACTGAGATCTGGTTCTGGTTTGATGCTCTTATGGCTCAGTGGACCTGTTACGTTAGTCCATACGCCATTCTACGTCCTTTAAGCCTATGTCACACTACGGATTGGAATTGAGATTGGATTGAAATTTGACCAATCAGAAGAAAGAAAATCAATCCTAAAAGTTGTAGGCCGTAACAGTAAGAAAGTGACAAATCACAATCGATTATTCTTTTGTATTTTGTCTGTGATTTGTCAATTTCTTACTGTTACGGCCTACAACTCTCCATTGTAGACGACCCTTTACGTTACGTTAAAGAGCCGTCTACAATGGAGAGTTGTAGGCCGTAATAGTAAGAAATTGACCAATCACAGACAAAGTACAAAAGAATAATCGATTGTGATTTGTCACTTTCTTACTGTTACGGCCTACAACTCTCCATTGTAGACGACCCTTAAGTTAGCCGTGAGGGCGATGTCCCATTGAGCGGAAATATATAGCGGAACGGAATGTGCGGAACCAGCTCGACCAATCATAGCCATTCCGTTTTCTTTCCTTCGCTTTTTCTATGGTTACGATTGGTCGAGCTGGTTCCGCACATTCCGTTCCGCTATAGATTTCCGCTCAATGGGACATCGCCCTGAACTTAAATTCTTACGTAAACTTTAACTTCATTCAACGCACAAACTAATACTTAAAGAGCCGTCTACAATGGAGAGTTGTAGGCCGTAACAGTAAGAAATTGACCAATCACAAACAAAGTACAGAAGAATAATCGATTGTGATTTGTCAATTTCTTACTGTTACGGCCTACAACTCTTCATTGTAGACGGCTCTTAAGGAAACACAGTTTTAAGGGTCGTCTACAATGGAGAGTTTTAGACTGTAACAGTAAGAAACTGACAAATCACAATCGATTATTCTTCTGTACTTTGCCTGTGATTTGTCAATTTCTTACTATTACGGCCTACAACTCTCCATTATAGACGGCTCTTTACAGAACGGAGTTTGCGGAACTCTATACTGCCTACTTCCATTGTAGACGACTCTTTAAAAGTTAATTTTAGCGTGAAATTGTACGTTACTTTTGTACATAAATTATCGTATAAACAAATTTATAGGGATCATGATGTGAAATATTTATATATTTGTTGACAGCATATAGTTTTTGTTTGACTTTATACTAAATTGCTAGAATGTCATGTGGAAAAGAGCTAAAAATGGTTTTAATTGTACAGATTGATTGATGATTATCAAAAAAATAAATGATTGAAACATTCCATAAAATTATTGATACTGCTGTTAATCGAATATTATATACTATCACTAGTGACTCATAATTTCTAAAGTCTAGAATATGAATTGTTGGGCTTTTTTTATATCCAAAAAATTATGTACCAAACATGATAAAATTAATTTGTTATAAAGAAAATAAGTTATTTAAAAACAACACTAAAATATAACCTGTTAATATACTTTATTCAAAAACACATTCTATTATTACAAATAAAAAATTATTACAATGTTATCTTGATACAATTTATGTCAAATAGAAATTATTCACAAAAAATTAATATCTTTCAATTATATTATTGTAGAGAAAATGAAGAAAAAAAGAAATTTTGAGAACTTTAGAATAAATTGTTGAAAGATTAATGAATAATAAAGTGTACAATAAATATAACATAAAAAATAAATATTAAAGAAAATAAATATAAAACAAAAATAAAAACTGAGTTACGAAAATAAACATTTAGTTAGATACTTAGGACAATTCAATTTGTTTTCTTTTAAAATATCTGATATGATAATTGTAATCTTCAAAATCTATAGTCCACATCAATATCATATATATCGTTAATATAGTAGACAATAATAATCGGTCCATGCTATAAAGAAAAGATACAATTCCTTAAATTGATGTTGTTTAATGCTTAGTATTGTCTTGATAACAAAACAAAAAGAAAAATAAAAGAAATCAATAACAAATGTAAGCGCTGCTGAATCTTACCTCATAGAGGGATAAATCCATAAAATAATGAGAAATCCAATTAAACTAGGATGTCTCATATGTCTTATGTATCTACACAACTCCTTGGATTTTGTGTCCAATGGATTGTTTCTATTGCATATCTTATACCATACTTGTTTAAGTCCACACAGCTCTGCAATATCCATCATGATACACCCACTGTATATAATACTCCAAGCAAACATATGGAGGCCAAAGAATAACATCCAGGTTATATCATTGGAAGTTTCAATTTTCCAAAGTGTCACAGCTGGAGTTTGTTGCCATTTACTGATGAGGAAATGAAAGCTTGCTGCACTACAAGCATTGTAAATACTCCTGCGAAGATATTCAATGTGTAATCTGAAGAAAGTTTGTTGGACAAATTCACTGGCCATGATGGAATGTTGAAAGATGAAGATTGTGAGAAGCAACATATTGCATAAAACTGACCATAGTGCAGATTCAACTGTTTTGTCATCTAAAAAGGAACAATTTTAATATAAGTTAATTTTGAAAAAAAATATTAAAAATAAAATAAGTCACTCATATACACAATAGTAAAAAAAATGTAATTTCTCTATACTAATATAACTAATATATATATATATATTAATCTTACAAACATAAATATTCTATTAAACCTGATATTATGTTGATATCTTTATCTGTATCACCATGATATGACAAGAAGTAGATCAAATTGCATAAAATGTAGCATGTATACACAAAACTAGAGATGCATGTAATTACACTCAATACATTTGAAAACATTTTTGATAGATGTGTAAATTAAACATAAAATATAAAAAAATTTATGTTGTCTTGCGTATACATATATTGTGTATATTATAAAAGATGTATGTTTCGCACACGTGTATGTGTGCGCACATTTAATATTTGATTATAACTTTCTATCACAAAAAATTGCACAGTTTACAAATTATGTCGAGTCTATATAAATTATGTATACACGAATATTTGAATTAAAAATTATATATTTGATAACTTATGTTATAATGGTTCAGTAGATAGTAGGGAGAGGATAAACACAGACTTCTATCTTATACACTACTAGACTACTAACAGATTCTTCAACTACTACCAGAACTTAAGACGCACGCGCAGAATAAGAACCGCGCATGCGTATAATTTAATGTTCTACATACGATCACACATATATTCTACCTCAATATATACACAATGATTGGATTGTATAAGGATGCGCACAAAAAATGTGTACATATATGTATATATTGAAATAGTTAATATCAGTAGTTATTTTTTTACACTTCGGATGTATAGATTTAAATACTTTGTATACGTTTAATGCTATATTTTAAAATAACATTTTCTTATTCTTGTTTTTAGTTAATTCAATCTCTTTGTCTATGGTAAACGCTGTTGTCTTCTTTCAACGCACACTTTCTCTGTTTCTTAACACACATATTTATATAATGTGTATTATATATTATACTCGTTGCTTTGCCGTACTTAATCCCGATAATCGGCAAATAAATAATAATCGTCAATTTCGTATACAGAACTTTTGCCTTTAAATGCTCCAAATAATTTCCTGAGAATAAAGGTCTACATTTTGTACGATTGTTTTGTGAAAAATTTTGTTAGAACACCCAATGTAGATATGAATTTCAATTCGCTCTCGCTGAGAAACTTTCGTGGATCGTTTCTCCTATTTTTAGATTGGACTACTCGCATGAAGACTTACATCTTTTTATAGCTCTTCCTCTCTCGAAGAAACGTGCAGACTTCGATGTGGCCAAGGGCCCCGAGGGGCCGCATCAAGTATTTGCTCGGAAACCGTTTTATTATTTCCACATATAAATATATATAGAATGCTAATTAATACGTTCTACAACAAGAAAAAATCAGTATTTTTTGTTTATAAATATGTGTATTTCAGAGATTGTACATTACATTTTTGTGAAATTTTATCTTAACTGCTTAAACTAAAAACAATTGTAAAATTCAAGAAAATACTAATTTAATAAATATATCTTCTTAAGACACAATATCAGAAAAAATATATTTTCTCTTTTCTTAAATACTTAATATATATAAGATTCTTTCTAGATTATTATATACAAGATTCTACTAAATATAAGGTTCTTTCGGCAATAGAAAAAAGTAGGCGTGTTGATTTGGTCTTCTCCCAAATCAAGGTCTGATAAGATTACATATAATACAGTTGCACATTATCACGCACGGAAGCGAGAGATGTGTACTATCATATGAAGAATGTACAAAATTATGAAAGTATATCACTTATTCAGCTAAACATCTTGACTACACTAAAATCTTTCTCTTTTTCACTTGGTTTTATTTATTAATATAATGCTTACAAGAGAGAGAGAGAGAGAGAGAGAAACATAGGAAGACAGAGACAAAAAAAGAACATATACATACATAAAAATGCGTATTATATTTTTTTAAATTTTTTCATAATATAAAAGATATGATTAGTGTAATTTTATACATATCACAGATATCTTACACATGTACAAAATTGTTTGTTTTATATGTGTATAAAGAGATGTATATTTGTATTTTTAGTGTGTGTATCTGTCAGAACTATAATAATGAAAATAACCCGTACAAAACAAAACCTCCATTAGACGTTCATTAGACATCAGCTCTATGCGATATTTAATGGAATTTTTGTTCTGTGTAGGAAGTAAATAACTAATAAAACTTGTCAAAAGAATTTGTAAAAAAGATATCGGATTGAAACTACAAGATTATATCAAAGTCATGCAAAATATATCAAAGTCATGCAAAATTGCATCGACAAAATAAACTTTGTTACTACGACTTGTTTGTTTTTATCGTTGACTTCGGAATCCTGGCGACATCTTTACCTGACAGTATTAGAAATATCATTATCAATCTAATGCTGCCCGGTAAGATGTGAACAGATACTCCGTCCACCAGCGCAGCCATCTTGCCATCACACGGAATCATCTTTGTATAATCGCGCTTTCTTGTAGCTGTTTGAATTTGTCACTTCTTCTATTGATTACTGTGCTATTTCTTGTTCTTTTTCTCCTTTTATAGACACACGTTTATATATATNTATATATATATATATATATATATATATATATATATATATATTTATAAACTATATTAGTAGCATGAGATTTCACTTAGATCACTTGAGAGCGTCAAACTGACGCTGCGTGTAGCTACAAAAACAAATATTCTATTTTGCAAAAATGTTTCCGCGAAGCAAGATTTGACAATGTTTCTCATGCGATATGGTTGAATGTGGTATAGTTTCATTTAGGTATTCATATATATTAGTATTTATATTTATTTATATTTATTAATTTTTATTATTTATATTTATATTTATATTTATTTTTATATCAGTTTGACGCTCTCAAGTAACCTAAGTAAAATCTCATGCTACTAATAATTATAATTACCGATAGATCTAAACAATAGTTTTGACAAAAATACAAAGTCTATTTTATAACGTTTGTCTATATATTCATCTTCTTCCTTAGTGATTTTTTATATTTTTAGAATTTAAATCATATTATCCTGCATATTATACACCGTATCTTACCATTCTCTTTTAGAGAAAATGATATGTCTGCACAACAATTATTAATAAATTATTATAAAAATATAAATGAACAATGTTTGCGATATGTATAAAACACCGTTGATATTATGTAAATTAAAATCTGTCACACAAAGCAATGTTTGAGCGTCACTTTTTTATGATCTAGTATTATCTTCAATTTTAGAAAAAAATTGAATAGATCAAATATTTTGTATCTATTCACATTAAATTATATTTATTTATATTTAAGATAGAAAAAAGCCAAAAAGAATACTGTGTCTCTTTTTTCTCTTCTTTTGTTTAACAAAAAAGAAGAAAAAAAGCAAGTTTTACACAATCACCAATTATCTCTCTGTATACAAAAAGTCCAGTATTAATACCGATAATAAATAAACTCTATCAGAGAGAAGTCTTTTCTGTTCTCATTCCTATAAAAACAATTCACGCTCTAAACTCTATTTCTTTTCTTCTCCGTGCGTTCTTCAGCATCCTCTTTAGTACTTATTGGCGTCACATCCAGAAAAGATAAAAATAAACGTTTAAATATAATAAACTATTTATGTATTTATATATGGAACTAATGAGACAAATACATATTTTATTTTCATAATTTTAATATATACGTATTATACACACACACATATATATATATTTATATATATCGATAAAATAATTTTGTACAAGCAAAATAATAAGAAATTAACAAAATTAATCAACAAAAAAATCATTTCGCTTAACACTTGAAAACTGTAACATTATAAGACAAAAATTTTGAATCCCATAACAAAAGTATGCAAAACTCAGCGTTAAGTAGTTTTCTCACATATTTTGAGTTAGGTGAAGCTTATGTATTGAACGCGTATACTTTTATAATCTTCTTTCTTTCTCTTTCGTTTTCTGGCCTACTTACTCTTTTGATCTCTCATGTTTAAGTATTAAAACGAAAATCTGAACGAGAACGCGCGGCGAACCAATGCCTGCATTTGTATGCAGATATGGCGTTACTTGTAAAAGTAAATTTGCGGCCGTCGCACTATTGTGTAGATAAGTTTGTCTTTGAAACCTTATATACGTATAAGAGGTGACAAAAAAAAATAAAATTTAATACTTTTATTATTTGTTATTACCTTTTTATAGACTTTGTAACATTGTGTGTGTGTAAAAAATATCACGCAAAATCAACTAACTCCACTTGCGTGTAATTTCAGAAAAGAACGAAAAATTGTTCTAAATATATATGGCAGTTTCTTGAGAAAAGTTTTGTTATATGGATATAAATTCTGATATCATCCATAAGTTTAAAATTGTAACATGTAACCTGCACTATGCATCTAGACAGAAATAATTAGTAAAAATATATATAACTTATTTTTAAATTACAAAAAGTAGTCTAATAAAAATATAAAAAAAATTATCTTTTATTCGAATAAATTATAAATTATCTTTTATTCGAATAAATCAAACTCCAAGCTGCACTTGAACTATAATAAGCTCGTGAAAGCAAGGTGGAGGGAGGCTTGTTCAATCATAACTCTAGTGAAGCTTCTTACATACAAATGACACACATAATGTGCGGAAATGAATCGAAAAATTTATGGCAAAATTTGTAGCGGTAATTGTTTTAAAACAGCTTTATTAGGTTCAGCAGTAATTACATAACAGTATTATATAGTGGATTATTAAACAGCAGCTATTATATTATTATATAATTATAATAAGTACATGTATTTTCTGAGTGGCTTGATGTAATGCCGAATAACTTCAGAAAAGAAATGTCGTATACATTAAGATGAATCAGACCTCAAAGTAAAAGAAAAAATCTTAATCAAATATTCTGACAAATTAATTTTCAAAAATTACTAGAATAATTACAACAATAAAACATTTTAATCAGTTTAAAAATAGTTTTTACATAGCACACAATATTTACACATTTTTTCGACAAGTAAGAACGAAAAAAGCGAAGAGAAGAAGAAAGAAAGAAAAGAGGACAGAAAAATAAGAGAGAGACAAAGAGAGAGAGAGAGAGAGAGA